TGTCTATGTGTGTGTGTGTGTGTGTGTGTGTGTGTGTGTGTGTGTGTGTCTGTGTGTGTGGTAGAAGACCAGCTCTGGGTGCAAAGCATGTGTATACTTGTAAAAAATGTCTTTGAAATGCATATATACATATATGAGAAGTCTTTTTTTCTAATGTGAGGATTGAGCACGTGTGTACGTGTGTTCACGCATGTGTGTGCACATGTGTGTATGCATATATGTATGTGTAGTATAGATGGTAATCAGAATTACGTGATCAGCCAACTTCTTAGCAGTCCAGACAGTGGTGTAAGATAGTGTTGTGGGAGGTGATTGTTTTCTTTTCAAACCAGAACACAGGTCTTTAAGGGGCTCTTGACTTTCTCCTTCTTCCTTATCTTGTTATAAAGGGATTAGAGTCCAATTAAGTAATGTAATCCCAAGGTAGAAATTCATGGTTAAAAACAAGATTTACAGCTTCTTAAAAAAATACATCAGTGCAAGTTGAAGTTTGTCCTTTCAAGTTGCCACCTGCATGGTTCCAAAGAGTGTTTTTAGCTGAACACCCAACACACAGTTCTTCTTAATTACTTTGCCTCATATCTCTCCTCCTTCATCTTTTAAAGTGCCCTTCAACCTAAATAGCCACATGCTGTGAGAAACACTTCAGCTTCTGGATTGCTACAACTCATCTTGGTTTATCTCCCCTCACTAAGCAACTCAGTGAACAGGGTTAATAATAAAAATACTAGGAAGAGCAAATGCTGACTGGGACCTCGGTATGTGCAGGGCATCCTTGCTTCACTCATTTAATATCCATTATCTCCTTAGGTGCTCACTATGAAAGCATCGAAGGCTGGCTTCATGAGTGTGTGACTTGAGTAGCCACTCAGGCTATCACTTGATGTAACACCCTGCGGGCTGTTGCCATCTTGAAAGTTTTTAATAGTTTTTGAGCAAGGGACTTGCATTTTCATTTGGCATCAGACCCGCAAATGAGGTAGTCAGTCCTGAGAACACTTGTTAACTCACAGGTTCTTTTGTGTTCTTTCTCTGTTATGTCCAGCACCTTGTGAGAGGATGGGACAGTTAGTCTCAAATTAAGCCAAAACCCTCTCTGGAAAATGGCCGGCAACATCTCCTTAGAGGGAAGTTTTCTGATGAACAGGCATCATATCATGATATTTACCACAGAACAGAAAAAAGTATTTGAAGTCTCAGTTTCCTTATCTGTGAAATGGGGTTAATGATGATAACAATTTATAGGATGTTCAAGGATGAAATGAGATCATGTATAGCCAACTCTGATACTCAATATACACAGCATTAGTTACTATTCATGCATTATGGGTATTTAGCAAGTACTCAGTATCAAATACTACTTGTGACATGGTAAAGGTCCCTTGCCTACCACCAAGGTGCCCAACGATTTGCTCCCTACCTGTCCTGCAGAGCTGGCAGGGAAGTCTGCCTTCTCCATGTGCTGGGAGGACACAGAAGGGTTGCTGGAACTGATGAGCACTGGAGTGCTGATTTCTACCATCTGATGCCCCATAGGAGAATGGACCATTCGGTTGAAAGTGTTCAAAGCTGTTGTGATGGAGAACTGCCCAGGCCCCTTCCTCCTAGACCCGGAGCCCCTTCGGAGGGTGGGTGTGTTGCTTGCTTTGCTTCTGGAGGACGAGGATACCAGGGACAGGTTTCTTGTGCGTGGTGACTGATGCCCCTTGTTCTTCTCTAGGAGGTGTCTTGCAGTGAGGTTTGGCTGAAAAGGTAAGAGGACCAAAGAGAAGTCAGTCTCTCTGATGCAGTACAGCTCAGTTCCTCCCCTACCCGACACCAGGCGAGTTGGTGGCCAGGTCAGATGCTGTCTTCTCAGTCACTGGCTCAGATGCCCATTCTTTGTTCAGTATAGTAACAAATTTTACCTTTTACTCATTCCAAATTCATACATATGATAAGTGTTTGAGACAGAATAGACAAATAGATATGTATTCAAGACCCTGAGTATGACTTTGTGCTAATGCAGTCTTTTCCGACGCAAATACTTCCATCTCTTCATTTCCCCTCTGTTCGCCATCTTTTAAGTGAGTTGTTCTGGTAAATTAGCTAACAACAACAACAACAAAAAAAAAACCAAAACTGAAAAAGGACAGAAAGGCCCTGATGTGTAGAGTTATGAATAAACCAATGGTTTAACAGCTGGCTAGCACAAGTGTTGGAAATGTAACAAATGATGTTTCTGATTGAGTGCCAGCCAGCCCAGCGCTGTGTCACTGTCAGCCTTCCCTACCATCCTGGAAATTCCCACTGAAGGCCTCTGGGATTCGTTGAGTTTGGAAATCTGAAATCTGTGGATAAAAGAAGGGCTCCTGTGAATCAGTGCTTCAATTTCAGGACAATAGTTCAATTCCTATTATAATAGTCACTAGTTGTTCTCTAAAGCCATGTGTCTCATTCTAATTTAGAAATTCAACTATAGAGATAAAAGGAATTTTCCCATTTAAGAACTTTTTAAGTGACAGTGTGCAGAATATTAAAATAGCTGAGAGAGAAAATTTAAAAGAAGATGTAATTCTTGCCTCAAAAAACTTGCCATATTGTGAAAAACTGATCAAGTAGGGGTAGGGTGTTAATGTGCTCATTTTTGGGCGTATGAGTGTATGTATGTGTAGGTGAGCATACATGTGTGCATGTATGTGTGGAAGGCAGAGGACAACCTCGACTGACATTCCTCAGGAGCGATCCACCTTGGTTTTTGAGATAGGGTCTCACTGGTCTGGAGCTCACCAAGTAGGCCAGACTAGCTGAACAGTAAGCCCCAAAGGATCCTCCTTTCTCAGCCTCCCCAAGACTGAGATTATAAGCACATAGTGCCATACCCAGCTGTTTTTTATGTGAGTTATGGAGATTGAACCCAGGTCTGGTGCTTGCCTGGCAAGCGTTTTACTTGACGGAGCCGTCTTCTTCCTTTGTTCACTTAAAAAAAAATGTCCATTTCAAAGATGAGAAAGCTGAGGACTGGAAGGAGTAACATGAATGAAGGACTGCATGTGCAAACTACTAAACAAGACAATATCAGACAGTAATGTGTTCTAGTGCAAAAGAGAAAGAGGGAGGGAAGTGGCCACTCCAGATCGGGGATCAGGAACCTCTGAGAAGGTGGCATTTAAACTTGAGACAAGTGACAAGGAAGAGCTGTTCATGTAGAATGAGGCTGTGAGCATGACAGGCAGAAAGAGCTCAGCCTGTTTGAAAAGGAGACAGAAGAAACAGAGTAGGTTGGAAGGGGGCAAGTGAGGAGGCAGGGAGAGGAGACCATAGAGGTGGGCAGGTGCTGGGCTGCACAGGGACGGGAAGGCTTTGACTTTATTTTCAGTGTGACAGGAAGCTCTTGGCAGGATCTGAGTAGAGGAGTGACATGATCTGATTTATAGTTTTTAAAGCTCATGTTATGGTCTGGCAGTTTCTTATAGTTAAACACATACTTAGCATGTGATCCAGCAATCTTACTCCTGGGTAATTATTCAAAGAAAGAAAAACTTATGCTCAAATTGCAGTTTTAGCCAGTATTACCAACAATGGAAAACAACCTCAGTGTCATTTATTATTGATTGATTGATTGATTCATTGATCAACTGATTTGTGCATGTGTGTGGAGGTCAAAGGTCACCCTTGGTAGTTGTCCCTCAGGAGCTGCCCACCTTGGTTTTTAGGCAGGGTCTCTCATTGGCTTGGTACTTGCCAATTAGGCTAGGGGGGGTGGCCATTGAGCCTAGGAATCCTCCTGTCTCAGCCTCCCTAGTGCTTGGATTACAAGTGTGCATCACCACGCATGGCTTTTTTTTTTTACCTGGGTTCTGAGGATTGAACTCAGGTCCTCACAACTGCATGGTAAGTATTTTACAGACTGAGCTATCTCTCCAGCTTCTAATCTCAAAATGTTTGTTAGACAAACTCTCTCTGCAAGATTCATGTATTTGGGATACAACTCACTCATAAAAAGAAGAACAAGCTGCCGATATGTGAAACAGTGTGGATGAACTCACACGTGCTAGGCTGAATGAAAGAAACCAGTCTCCAAAAGCTACATTCTGTGGCCTTCCATTTATACCACATTCTGGAAAAAGAAAACCATAGGGGCAGAAAATAGGCTGCTGGTTACCAGGTGCCCAGAGTCTGGCAAGGAATAGACAACAAGAGGGCGCAGCACAAGGGATTTGGGGGTTGTGTAGGAATGTCTATCTATCGAGACTGCACTGTGCTTATACAATTGTGTATATTCATCGTAACACAAAACTAGATAAAAAACAGGCACGAAGCAAATTTTACTCCTTATCAATGAAAAGCTCATTACTGATTCTATTCAGAAGTACCAGAAGAGAAGTAGGAGGACAAGTCAGCAAGATATTGGACTTATTCAGGCTGGCTCTGATGCAGACTGGACTAAGGACAAGGCCTTATGTTTCCCACAGCACCTGTACCTCCATGGTTGGCACAGGAAGAGGATACTTCATACCTTTAAATGGAATGAGTGATGTTCTTTACAGTCATACACAGCTGTAATGAAATAAGTTAATTTTTCCTTATTTGTCCTAACTGTTCCACCTCCAGGTGAGAACCACCATCAGTTTTTTAAAATCACTAACACTGACAAGGGGCCTGGTGAGACTCTGCATCTGTCCTGTCCTCCACCAGCATGATTAATAGCTCAGCTGGGGAAGGAAGGACTGCAAGGCTGTAAGATTTCCACTCATTTGAAACAATATCCTTGAGGTTCACTGGACTGGACAAGGTTCATGTAACCAAAGCGGGCCCTGTGGAGAAGTCCTGACAAGAACGGGCAAAAGCCCAGCATTTGTTTTGCCACCTTTTATGCAGGTGCAATTCAATAAATCAAATGATACATTAACAGGAAAAATCCTGTTCATGCATAAAACCTCCTCCATGTCATCTTGACAAGAAAGCCTTCCTTCTTTTCCAATTGCTTTGCATGGCACTGGCAATAAAAAGCTTGTTTAAAGAGTTCTTAGCAAGTGCTAGTCTTAATGAAATTACCGGAGTCAAAATTTAAGTACTGCTTTAAAAAGCTCAATTTAGATGTGAAGTAATTTTTGAAAAGCAGGTTCACAATTAGAGAAGCCACTTGATTATCTTATCCCCCTCCTAGCAATTAGGAGAACAAATGAAGCAAAGGCTAGTTTGATGATAATTCTGAGGGTTCTTGTAATCACTAATTTTAGAGGTAAATTGGTAGAGAGAGTATCCAAATGAATAATCATTAAGTGTAGAAGTTTTGGGAAAAAACAGGTTTCAGAAATGGGTAATAAAATTAGCAGTTTTCCCTCCACCCCAGAGCTATGAAGGAGCATCTCAAAATAATGCAGGAGCCCATGCAAAATCTCCCGCCTCTGATGTGTCCAATTAGCTACCAAATGCAGCTGATCTCAGTCCTCTGAGAGATAACATTGTGCCCCAATTGTCCTTATTGTTTCTACTTAGCAATGTGGCTTGACCCAGTAAATGGCTCCAACACTGACCTAGGCATACTAATCACAAAGCAGAGATGCCTTCACCACTTTCTCATATCCTCTACTTTTGCAATTCTCAAACCCTGAGAGTTCTGTCTCCTAAGAGGCAGAATCTGAATTTGTCCATGTTTCCAGTCTACCATCAAAAGTCACCTCATCTCCTAACTGAGCCATGCCTGATCATCTTTCTTTGTTTTTTTCTTCCCCTTTTTCAGATTATACTTTCTACTGCAGCCAAAATGACATCAAGAAACAGGTCTGGGCCTGCTCGAGCACAACTGTAATGAGCCCTTGGGAGACTGAAAAAGGAAGGTTATGAGTTTGAGGCCCGCTTGGGATATACAGTGAAACCCTGTCTGCAAACAGAACAAGCAAAACGATACCAGCCAAACAGACAACAATAAACATAATAAATCAAGTCTGATCAAACCACTACCTTACTAAGAACCTTTCAATGGCTTTTACTGATCTTAGGGTCAAATCTGAACTTCTTATAGTGTGATAGAGATGATATTCACTAGTGTTCCATGTGGTCCCCTATCTTTTGCTGACTTGGAGTCAGGTGGGGATATGTGGCTGGTTTAGGCCAATGGGCAATGAGTGAAAGTATAGAAAGTGCCACTTCTAAAGCCCGTAACTGTGGACACACAATTCACTCTCGCCTCCTGTGGAAACTGGGATGTTCCTCATTCTAGATGGCCCAGCTACAAGATGGCCTAGGCTTATCCATGTGGGTTTCCTAGTGACGATATGCACAGAGCCACTTACCATTCTGTGTTGAACACAGTGTGGGTAGGGTATAGCATTTTCTTTGTCAAGCCACTGAGACTTTGGACCTGTTTAATGTGATAGCATCACCTAGCCCCTTTTGATGGTTTCCCAAATAGTTTACAATCTACTACTATTTACTTCCCTGGCTTGATCTCTTAGTTCCAGTTCTAGTAGTCTTTGGGTCCTCATCCTGCAGGACTTTTGCATGTGCTACCTCCATGCCTGAAAAAGCTCTTCATTCTTTACATTCCTATCTCATCCTGATTGTCTCTCAGATACCGGTTCAAATGGCATTTGCTAACTTTCTACCAAGGTAAGTTGCACCTCATAAGCCTCTAATAGTTACTTCTACTTCACTCTTTGCGTCAGCCATTGTACTTGAATGCTTGACTCCCTAGTCTATATCTGCCTTGTATCTTTAGAAGTTAGCATAAGACCTGATATAGCAAACATTTGGTGAATGATTAAATGAGTGCTTATGACAGGGTCACAGTGAATGGTTTATTATTATATTATTTTACCTTCAAATATGTTTTCATTCTTTTTTTTTACCTTTATTGTCTCGTTATTGGAACCCAAGGCCTTATACAAGCTGGGCAAGCAATTTTT